GACAACATTAAGAAATAGAAAACTTAGGGAGACAAGTTCTCCGATAAGAGGCAATAGCATAAAGGGTGGTGGTGTGTTGACGCATAAAATAAATACAGAGACATTGTCCAAATTGCCCAAACCCAATTTTGGTGCTTGTGATTTGAAGCCGAATTTGGAGGTGCCAACTATTGCATCTTCAAAAGCAACTCCTGATCCTGCTAAAAGATTTCAAGGATCACATACATCAAAGCATCAGGTACATTACCGTTATAAATGCTTTAGTGTAATATTAGTTACTTTTAAAGATTTCTTCGTAGCATTGAAATTTATTTCTGGTACACTGATGCATGCTGGCAGTTACCAATGATTGAATCCACACCAAAAACTAAACCTCGACATACTGTGATTCCACCACTGGGTCCTTCCAAACAAGTAGAAGGTCGTGAAGTTCCTGCTAAGCCAAGGCAAAAGACTCCTCCAAGCTTACTTAAACCACCTTCTTTTCCAGGACATGTTAGGCAGGCTGGGTTTGATGTTCCTAATGCAGCAAACAATAGTGGAAAGTCAAGTCCAAACAAAATGGTTAGGGAGCCTAAGGTAAGCCATAACCAGTTGACCATTAGTCATCTACCACTTGTTTCTAGAGAGATTACTCGAGAGCCTTTAAAGACTTTTGAAAGCAGTTCCAAAGGAATGCAAACAGACAGCAGTAACTCTGTCTCATCTTCTTTTTCTATTCAAGGATTCGAACTTTCTGATTTTGCAACCACTTTTATTGACTTAAGTGAAACAACACTTCTTGTTGAAGAGAGTTTAAACCACGCTGAAAATGTGGAATCACGAGGAGATAGCGGTTCACCTGCATCTTATTCGCATTTTGAGATGTCTGAACAATTGTCTGAAGAAGCCCCTGTCATTACGCCACACTTTCAGAAGATAATGACTAATGACGAGAAAGTAGGTCCCGGTTTATCTCCAGATCATTCAGTTCAAGATGCTAAGGTAATGTTTGCTTCTGATGATAGTTTTCCCATAAATCAGAGGATCACATCTGCTGGCTCCAGGTGTGACAATACATCTGTAGAATCCTCTGCTGAAATCACAGAAGAAATAGAAGATGTTTCTTAGGAGATGTCTTCAACCAAGTCTCCTCAACAGCCTCTCCCCATTTCCGGAGAAAAGTCTGTTTGTGAAGAATTCGGTCCATCAAGCAAGCCAAATAACAGGCTTGATTAAGTTAGCCAGCCAAAACTTCTGTGCTTCTCCAGTGATGACAAATTTATGGTGAGGGGAAGACTGTCATCAGCGGAAGAAACTTCTCCTTTGATTATCTCTACTAAAATTTCAAGCCAGAAAGTTTTGCAAGAGGAGAAAGGAACAGTTTCGGCACCAGAAAGGCCAGCTGTTGGTCATTTTCCTCCAGCTTTTGATGATGTCATTCATGTCATACGCCATAGCAGTTATCGTGTGGGGAGTGAGCAGCCAGTGAAGGAATCCGTGGAGATGGGAGTTCAAAATGTAGATGTTGGTAAGTTTATCAACATTGTAAGGGATGATATAGAAATGAGAAACGTGAACACTCCTTTGACCCTAAAATCTTCTAGTTGCTCAGAAGCTATTGGTTTGAAGGCAAATATTTCTGAAAATATGGAAATTAGAAACTTGAATAATCCTCCTAACATAAAATCTTCAAGTTTCACCGACTCGTTGAGCATGAAATCAAGTCTTTCTGACAATCCTGGTGTCAGGGAACAAGATGTGGAAAATCCTGATTCTCTTGTTGCTAAATTTGATCCCCCCGAGTATTCCGGATACCCTCCTACAGCTGAAGGGGAACCACCAGCAAAGGAAGTTTTGGATGTTAAATCTTCAAGGCAGAGAGCTGAGGCCCTTGAAGGACTGTTAGAGTTATCTGCAGATTTGCTGCAGCAAAATAGATTGGAGGAACTTGCAGTTGTTCTAAAGCCTTTTGGAAAAGATAAAGTTTCCCCAAGGGAAACAGCCATTTGGTTAGCCAAGAGTTTAAAAGGACTGATGCTTGACGAAAGTGGAGGACGCAGTTAATGGGGTGTTTTAATCCATGGTAAGTTTGCTTGTGTTTGATATTTTCAATTACTTTTCTACTTTATAGTTTTTCAAGTGCCACTTGAATTGAGAGAACAAACAGGCTTTATCTCTTCTTTCACTTATTTTGTAATTCTTTTATGCTGTTGTAAATAGTTACCATACGAATGAATAACATCAACTTACGATCAATTGTGTGGACATGCTCTTGCCAGGCCATATTGAGAATTTATGTGCTGTTTCAGTGTTCTACATACGTCGTGAACTCCAATTATGATGTAATAAGAACCCAATGGAGAAATTTAGCGAATGCAATATTCTGGGCTTATTTTTTTAACAAAAAAGTACAAAGTATTTACTAAAAACATATTAGTTTAAATACATAAAATTCGTTTTATACTTATTTTAAGTAATGGAAAGCGTCAGGTAAAATATACTATATTTGTCTTGATTATTCCTCTGTATAACTTATAACAAATACTCATTTATGAAGAAAGATAAAAATACTACTCCCTAACCCTGTTTATAATACCTTTTCAACTAATTCACGTTATTTAAGAATATTTTGTTTTAATTGGAGAATGGAAAGTATGAGTGGAAAAGATAAAAAGAGAAAAAAAAGTAAAAAAAATAATTATATTAGTAATATTATTTTAATTATTTTGTATTACGATAAGAATCATAAATATTAGTAAGGAGTTAACAACATAATTTATATTCTATGTTTTTACATAGTGTAAATGTCATTAATAATTTAGTGATTAACAAAATATTTACCATATAATTAGTTATGCGGAAGATGTAATTAATTATATTTTCGTGCACAAAAAATTATATCTATATCTATATCTATATATATATATATATATATTAAAAGGCCAGTGTATCAAATTTCTTCTAATATTTATTTATTGTTTTTCAAGTTTTATTCATTTTCCAACATTGTTAGCTGTTATTCGCTTTAGAATAAACAAGAAAGTTAGTTAAAAATAGCAGATTGATCTTTAATGTTATTGTTTATTTTTCAAAATTATTTTTTTAAAGGTACTTCAAAAATCAACTATAAGGATTCTTATAGATATATACAATTTTCTAAAAGTTATAATTACGTGTGGAGGAGGTATATATTTTGTGTAATATGTGGGTTTTTTAAATTGAGTAAATTTAAAAGGTTGAAAACAAACAAAAATGTAGTAGATATTTGAAGTTAAATGAAGAGGGAGAGCACTAATTTTAAAAGATAAAAATATGATAATATATATATAATTGAAATTTGAGATGATAAAATACATAAAAAATTTAAAATGATAAAGTGGTATTTCAAAGAAAAATTAAAGTTAAGTGTAAAGTATTTCAAAGTTACTTTATTTTCTAGTTAAGTAAATTAATAAAAAGATATAGTAATACCATTTAGAGAAAAAAAAAAGTCAATACTGATCAATGATACATAAACCGGACTTTAATTATTATAAAGAAGCGTACTTTGATAAACCAGAAGTTGTCAATAAGTTAATGAAAATCAAGTTAGTATAATGCAATGTTAGCTTCTGTTTAGTTTGAGAAAAAAATATTGTTTTTGTTTTCATCTCTAATTACAAAACCATAGTATGTTTTCAAAAGGTTTTACAAAAGACAGTAAAACCCAAACAAATAAAAACGAAGCGATAAGTTTCAATTAAAAATCAGAAAACATTCAAACCAAAGTTGTTTAAAAGCTGGCACAATAAATTGGAAACAACAACACCACCACTCGTTAAAGAAAGTCTTATTATTTTTACCAATAAAAGAATTACAATGGAAAATAATATTATAGAAAGTGCCTTAAAAGATATATAATTCTTTAAAAGATGATATACTTTTATAATATTTTTTTATAATAATTTAATATTATTTATAATTATTATAAATTTTGAACTATCGCAAATGTTTTGTATAAAAGGACATTGCTTTTTACGATGATGGTGAGATAATTTAGGTTTGTCTTTGCGAGCAAGTCATCCTCATGGAACCTTGTCAAACCTTATACTAACGTTTTCCGTCAAAATTACCATTTTTTTTTCTCGTATCTCCAATGTTGTTCACCTTCTTGGTCTAACGGAGTTAAGCATTGGCACCTCACTTTTTGTGTCTCATCCAACTCAGCACAACAAACCCAACCAACAATTGGTGTCTTATGAAACATGGTTGCGTCCCTTGTCTTGTGCCCACGTTGAGCACGTTGTTAGACGCATTTCGCTCTTCACCCAAATCTATTTAGTCAGCTTAAAGTCAAAATCATATGCTCAAATTAGGTATGAATAATAAAAAAAGATAAATTGTTTATCATAAAAAATAAAAATATAAAACCATATTAATATACTTTTAGAGGATGGAGAAAAGGGAATCTTATCTTTAAAAAAAGATAAATTATTTATCATAAAAAAATATACAATGAAAATCTTTTTAATCCTTAAGCATGGATTGAAAACGATATTAGAATGAATGAATTTGAGGAAAAATAAAAGGTATTATTATTCTTTATAGAAAGCCAAAATTGAAGATTAGTAAAAGCGACAAGCACAAATCTCAACAACGTATCCAAACATCAACCTTTCACTTTCTCACTCACTCCACCNTGTTAGACGCATTTCGCTCTTCACCCAAATCTATTTAGTCAGCTTAAAGTCAAAATCATATGCTCAAATTAGGTATGAATAATAAAAAAAGATAAATTGTTTATCATAAAAAATAAAAATATAAAACCATATTAATATACTTTTAGAGGATGGAGAAAAGGGAATCTTATCTTTAAAAAAAGATAAATTATTTATCATAAAAAAATATACAATGAAAATCTTTTTAATCCTTAAGCATGGATTGAAAACGATATTAGAATGAATGAATTTGAGGAAAAATAAAAGGTATTATTATTCTTTATAGAAAGCCAAAATTGAAGATTAGTAAAAGCGACAAGCACAAATCTCAACAACGTATCCAAACATCAACCTTTCACTTTCTCACTCACTCCACCACACACACACACACACACAAACAACGCTTTACGTTGCTTACTCTTCCATTCCGTTATGCAAGATCCCTCTCGCCCCGCCACCGGCTACCCAGCTCCGCCCTACCCCCACCCCAACGGCGCTCAACCTCCGCCGACCGCCACCGCATATCCATATGCCGCCGCTCCCCCTCCCTACCCCCAGCCCCAATACTACAACCCCAATTACCCCCCTCCACGATCCTACGCCTCCCGCTCCTTCTTTCGCGCCTTCTTCGCCACCATGATTTGCCTGGCTGTCATCTTCGGCGTCATCCTCATCGTCACTTGGCTCGTCCTCCGCCCCTCTCTCCCACACTTCACCCTCCACACCGTCTCCCTCACCAACCTCTCCACCACTTCCCAATCTCTATCCGCCACGTGGCACCTCGCCTTCCTCGTCCGCAACGGCAACAAGAAGATGACCATCACCTACAACGCCCTCCGCTCCTTCGTCTTCTACCGCGCTACCGACGTCGCCAACTCCCAACTCGCTCCCTTCAAACAGGACACCAAATCTGAGACCACTCTCAATGCCACCCTCGTCGCTGCCAGCTCCTACCTCGGACCGTCCCTCATCAACAATCTCAACGCCGAACGAGCCGACAATTCCGTCCTCTTTGACGTCCAGATTGTCGCTTCCACCTCCTTCCGTTCCGGTTCCTGGAGGTTCCGGACGCGCTTCCTCAAGGTTCTCTGCCAGAAAGTTCCCGTTAGTGTTTCCTCGAATTCCAGTGCCGGCGAATTGGTCGGTGGAGACCGGGAATGTCAGGTTTGGACGTGAATTATTTGGTCAGGGCGATGTTTTGTAAAAACCCTAGGTTCGATTGGAGATTCGTTTTCTGATTGTCTGGGCAATTGATACTTTCAACGGTCTATGTTTATGCTATATGGTTTAGGTTTTGAATGGAATTTTTTGTTGGTAGTGTATGACTGTAGATAGTTATCATCACATCACATCACATCTTATGTTATTTGCCTGGCCTTCTAGAACACCTGACTTCAAATCAGTGGAGATTTGAAATTTTTTGATGCTGGAAGTTTGCATGTGTATGATTATTGGAGGCATCAAAGAGGGCAGATATTAATCTTATTTTGGATATCACTGACTTACTGTTTCACTGATCTTTGTTCTACTGAATATATGTGTAGTATGACGGATATTGTCTAGGAAAAGATGTTTCAAATTAATTAATAATGTTGATTTTTAAAAACATCTCCGAAGCTTTGGTCTTTGATCGGGCTAAACAAGGAAAAGCTACGTTGTTGTTGTTGTTGTTTTTTGCACTTTTTAAAATCATAATAGAAACAAATGGTGGTTTTTTTATACACAGGACAAATATTGAACTAAGTACTACTGCCGGATGCTTTTGTTCGCATTTTTCTGTTAATGAGTTTGTTCAGATTGTGACGAATTCATTCATCTGTTTCTTACTCAACATTCATTTACAATCCTTTACTCAACTCTAGTCTTGTGAAGATACTGATTCCGAGTAAATTACCTGTCAGTCGGTTGTCTTACTGAAGCATAGTTTTTAAGATGTTTCACTTTAATGGTGTTTAAAATATCTAACTCGATGATATAGGCTCTTCAATTCAAACTGACAACACAAAAGCTTTAGAGTTTTATTCATCTTTGAGCATTCAAACTTGGTTAATGTTGTTCAAGTCAAAACGCCTGCATCATCCAGTATTTTCTCTGAATAGGTGCTATATTGGGCATTTTGAGTTGTGGAGTCTACAGAATGCTTAACAGCTTGTCTATCTTTCTAGTTCTGGTTTGGCTGTTTCTTTATATTGTTTCATAGATTCTGGTTGATGATATTATAATGACTAATGTAATTTGCCATGGTAAAACATTCTGAAAGAAACACAATTTTTTGTGTTTTTTTAATCTTTTTGTTATATTTTCGTACCTAGTATATTTGTGATCATATAATAATTAATCTAACACTATGACATTTCCACCTTTTATGTCTTGGATAAATATAAATATGTTGGTTAGGGGTTTACAGGTGTTTCTGAGTATCCAAAGTCCATACCTAAGACCTTTTCTTCATTGAGTACTTGTTTATTTAAGAAATTTATGACTCTAAATGAGGCAATTTTGTTGTTTCTCTGCCAAGAAAAGATCGTATTCATCAAAAAAATCCTAGAAATTGTTCATGACAACATTCCAAGTTACAAGCTAGCTAGTCATTTACTTAAAGTCTAGAAACTTCTTGAATTAGCATGGCATGGAGGACTGGGTCATTTCACTTTGTTGGATCCGGTTTGCAAGTGGTACAGGCTGGTGCCAATTGGGGAGGGGTTAAAAATAGAGTTTTTTTTTTGGATCTGTGTTGGGTTTATTTAGTACTATAAAGTTGATTCATTAAACTGTTGACATTGACATTTTTCTAATCTAATGGATGACTGTCTAATTGTGTCTTGTTTAGTTCTAATTGGATCTGTGGACTGATAGGGTCAAAAGGGGAGATTAATCTCCTGTTGGTAGATATCGAACCTGTACTGAAACAAACTACAATACATTCAAATACAATTTAAAATTTCGTTGTTTATGTAATCTAACTAACCTGTATTTGCGCTTCTGTCACAAAAGTACTTACACTATATTATAGCGTGCACTGGGCCCTTATGATTTATTTAGTTTGCCCCCTTTCATGTTGTATATGAGTAGGCCTAACCTTTCCTCTTGAACCATTGGAGCCTTGACAGCAGCAAGTGTCATAATTGATGTACGTGTCTTGTTTGAAACAGCAGAAAGTGATGCTATTTGTTTTGGTCATATTCACTTAGATATTGTGTCAAGGACTCAAGAATTGCGTTGTCATTCACCAATATTTGTCCATCTAGTTTTTAGTTTAAAACAAAGCAGTTTTTATGTACTGAGACACTCGTGAATATTCTGTTGACCCTTGTGCACAAAAAAAAATCTGTTTATGGTTTTACTTGTTTGGAAGTGGGGATCAGAAAAATGCAAATGGAGTGAAATGTTAAACCAGCCAATAGATTTCTTCTTTCGTTTGTTTAAAATATTTTTGAAGATTAGCAGGTTTGGCAACGGTCTCGTCCTGATGCAATTATTGAATGCCTTGAAGACTTGCCATTTTTTTGGTGGTGATTGGCTTCCCCATACTTCTTTCTTTGTTGATGAGATGTGTTTGGCCCATTTATTTACGAATAGATATGGATGCTTGCTGCACATGCATTTGTGTCCACATTAATAGGTAATCTGGTATAGTACAAACAGGGTTGGCTTCTTAATTCATGCATACGCACGCAGGTTTTGGTTTGTTCCTACAAGTTCCGTAACATTGTCATATGCTTTTCCTCTGAATTTTATAGCAGGCAATCGGAATCTTTCATCCATAAAGGAATATCATTCGATTGCCTTTTCTTTATTCCGATATTGCTTCTACATTTTGTTTGTTCCGAATAACTTTGGTCCATTTTTATCTGCCATTGTTTCTTTAACAATACCAGCTTACACACTTTTCTTAAGGCTCTTTCATCACGGAAAGGAAGTGTTTTCTATGTCTACAGAAATGTTAAGCTAGAATAAAGGTTTTGTATACAAAATTTTGAAGGGCTTGGAGAGGACAGGACATTCCTACTTGGGCCAGCCCAATTGAGTATAAAAGTCCAAGATTAGTGGTCATTTTAGTATGGGCCCAAGTAGGACCCGTTTGCAACTCTTCCAAGTTATTTGGTCATTTCTGCAGTTTAACTTATATAAAATTGTAATTTTTGAAAGGAAAAAAAAAGGTTATTTAAAAGGCAAATGAAAGAAAACAATCGTTTCGACTTGTCTTGGGTTGAGGTAGCACACAAATTAAGAATTCTGCTGGTAAAATATAAAAAGTAGGCACGTGGGCCCTTCAGTAAGCAGATCCGTGGACCCATGAATTGGATCTAAATTAGTTGTGCTTGTTTAAATGTGAAGAGTTTCATTTACACCTCCAATATCTCAATCCTGTACCTCTTAAAATTATAATTTTAACTTTCTAACATCTCATCTTATATCTTTAACTTTTTCAAATATTTCATTTTGGATATTTTATCCTACACCTCCAACACTTCATCTATATTTTTAAGTCTTTTTAGAAATTTTCTTTCTTAACCTTAGTAAATATTTTTTAATTTTTTCTCTCTTTTATTAAAGTAACCATACACCTCTTTAACATTACATCTCTCTAACAAATTTTTAAAACTGTTTTTTATTTATAATTTAATAACTATTTAATTTAATTTAAAAATCTAATATAATTTAGTATTTTTTCATATTTTAATAATTATTAAAATATAATTTGTATTATTATAATAATTATATAAAAAAATTAAAATTAAAATGATTAAAATAAAAGTAATAAAAATAACAAAAAGAAGCAAAATAATAATATAAAATCTAATTTACTATATATATATAAATATTAAATCATATCAAAATATTAAATCAAATTAAATTATTATTAAATTTTAAATAAAAATAAAATTTTAAAAAAAATAATCGTCGGATATCGGTATCCGATAACATAGTTATCGGATTTTCGATTCCGACAAGAAAGTTTTTAAAAATTTATTTTTTAATTATAATTTATTAACTATTTAATTTAAAAATTTAATATTATTTAGCATATTTTATATTTAAATAACTATTAAAATATAATTTATATTATTATAATAATAATATTAAAAAATTAAAATTAAAGCAATAATAATAAAAATAATTATTAAATCAGATTTATGTTATTATTTTTATTATTTTTGTTTCTTTCTTTTTATTATTTTTACTTTTATTTTAATTATTTTAATTTTAACTTTAAATTTTTAATATAACTATTATAATAATACAAATTATATTTTAATAAATATTAAAATATGAAAATATATTAAGTAATATTAGATCTTTAAATTTAATAAATATGTAATTTAATTTATAATAATTTTAATTATTATTATTATAATAATATAAATTATATTTTAATAGTTATTTAAATATAATATATACACTATATTATATTAGATTTTTAAATTAAATTAAATAGTTATTAAATTATAAATAAAAACAAAGTTTTAAAAATTTGTTAGAGGATGCAGTGTTAAAGAGATGTATGGTTACTTTAATAAAAAAAAGTTAAAAGAAAATTTAATAAAGTTAAAAAGGAAATTTTCTAAAAAAATTAAAAATGTAGAATTAAGTGTTGGAGGTGCAAGATAAAACATCCAAAATGAAATTTTAAAAACAGTTAGAGATGCAGGATGAGATTTTAGAAGGTTAAAATTATAATTTTTGAAGGTACATAATGAGATATTGAAGGTGTAAGAGGGTAGCCCTAGACCCTGTTTGAGTGAGCCTTATATAGCCCATCCTGATATAAGCCCTTTTCATCTCTCCACCTTTTTTATGATTTATAAAGGCTTAATAGCTTATTTCGTCCCCAAGTTAAGAGCTGAATTTCCGTTTAGTGTCTGGTTTTAAAAATGAAGACATTCGATCCCCATTTTACGAAAATTGTGTATCTTAAGTCATCATCGTTAAACGGCGTTAAAATTGAAAACGTTGACTTGAGTGTGGATGTGAGGTGTGCAAGAAATGTGGTCGTGGCAATGAGTTGGGGTAGTTGACGTGGCAAGAAAATGAAAAAATTATGTGTTATGAAAAAATTACATTAGGGAGCTTGCAGCCGCTGTCGTACACACCACGACCACCATCCACAATCGTCAATGTTGCTACCGCAAAACTCACCATCGTCGGAACACCACGAGTTCATCTCACCACCACACATCGCTGCCATCAACTCACCGCAGAGAATCACCCAGAGCAAAATCCACAACCTCCATCATTAAATCGCGAAAGCAACCCTCAAATCGCCGTGAGTTCAAAGCGCGAGCCTCCTCTTGCGCGAGCCATCATCTTCTTCGCCATGAAACCAACACAATAGTGTCACCAACAGCCGCAACTACCCCGCCGCGATGCCAATCTCTTCCACCACATAATGCAATAGCGACTTCTTCATCCAAATCGCGCTTAGAAACCTGCAACCAGATAAATCAATTCGCCCAAATCTGAGCTACATTCAGAATCCCTAAGACAAATCGCGACG